CTGCGCGTCCAGGATCGCGTCCACGTCCTGCTTCTGGTAGGAGACAGTGGATTGCACACCGGCGGAATCCAGCACCAGCATCCGGCGCTCCTCGATCCACAGGAAACTCAGGCCACGGGTGGTGTGGAGCTTGCCCGAGGGAAGGTTCACGCCAAAGAGCTTGTTGGTGAGCCAAGTCTTGCCCTTGTCGAAGAGGCCCACCACCGCCACGATGCGGAACCTCCCGGCGGTCGCGACTTGCAGCATAGACTCCGCATGCTGCAGGAAGGGGATCTCGCCCGTGGACAGGAACTGTGCAAGGGACTCGAAGGCCAAAACTGCATCGTAGGGTGTGGCCTGGCTCTTGCTGACCTTGCTGCGCCAGCGGCGCTGCAGACGCTTCTGGTACAGGCGCCACGCCAGCTGCAACTGCAGCGTCGCCATCAGCTCCCTTGCGTGCCTGCCGCTGCGCTTCCTCTCGGCCAAGACGGACTTTGCAAGCTTTCGCCCGACGAACATGCGCCAAAGTGCTTGGATCTGGGTGGCCGCCTGGCAAGAGATGTGGCTCCTTTCCAATGCGGCCTGCGCCGCCCGGCCCGAGCGTTCACAAGCAAAGCCCCGCCAAGTCGTCTGAATTTTGGCGGCGGCTCTGGACAGTCGGCGGCCTCGACGCTGCGCTGCGTCGCTGCCTGTCCGGAGGATGTCCTGGAAAGCCTGGACCTTCTGCTGGCTTTCGGCGAGCTCATTAGATGCCCGGCCAGCCCTTTCTTGCAGATGCGAATTCTGCTCCTCAAGATCACCGACTTTGCCCTCCAGCTGCTCAGCCTTCTCCTGAAGCGCACCACGCTCCTGCCGCAGAGCCCCACGTTCCTTCTGCAAGGTCATCTTCTGAGCCTCCAGGTCTGTGATTTTACTTTTGCAAGCCTCCAGCTCTTCACGCATCGCTCCGCTGTCCTTGTGCCAGCGAGTCGTTTCTTCTTCCAGACCCCTGACTTTGCTCTTGCATTCCTTCAGCTCCCGAGCCTGCTGTCTCAGGCCAACAGCCTCCTTCTCCAAGCGCTCGTTCTCATTGGTCGAGTCTTGGGCCTGCTTCTGATAGTAGCTCATGGCCTCCTTCCGCAAAGCATCCGCATCCTTGCCTCCAATGCTCTTGAAAGAGACCTCGATTTCAAGTGGCTGGGAAAGGTCAGGCTGCGCACCGAAGTCACGGCGGCCCCAAAGTTTTTTCCATGCAGTCTCCTCCGCAGTCATTTTCCAATTCGCTCGCGCCGCTCCAACGCGGATTTCCACCTCGTAGGCCTCCGTTGCCTCGAAGTACAGGCTGCACTTGCCCGAACTTGCTTCATCATCTCCACACGGGCAGAGCTGCAGCTTGAAACAGTGGCCCCAGCAGTTGAACTCCCTGCTGTTCATCTCATCGCCCTTGCTCTTGCCCTGGAGATCAACCACCTCCACCCGCCAGGTGGCCTGCTGAGCTTGGTCTTTGCAAACTTTGCAAACGCAGGGCCCGCGCCTACCCCTTAACGAACGGACTTTCACGTTTGTGAGGACCCAAAAAACATGATAGACAGCCAAAAACATGTACCTGTGGTGCACAACTCCGTTCACGCCCGGCCTTGAGCTCCCAAGGAAGGACTTCGACGACCCCGACCCCAGCCATGCTGGAAGGCTTGCGCGGTGTGTGCTAGTGCTCGAGAGGGAGCCGTAAGTTGCTGCGTTGTGTGGGAGCTGGTGTCGCCTCGGGGGCAGGCAGCTCTACAGCCTCATCCACTGCAACAGGAAGCTATCATGGCAGGGTGGACAGCAACACTCTTCCATCATATCCTCACATCTAGGAGCGGGCCTGTGGTTGACGAAGCAGCCAAGGCCACACAGGAAGCCTGGCAAAAGCGACGCTTCTTCTGCCCCTTGCTGGATTAAGCTGTTTCAGAAAGAGGATATCGAATGATACAGATGGTTATATAGCTAGAGTCGAGTCTATAGGGCTCCTATATGGGGCGTAGTCAGGGGCCCAATAGACTGTAGCTCATGTCAACGTTGCTTTGCTGACCTCGCACATGCTCCGATGAGCATCCCTGTACACTCCTTAAACAGTTTCCGGGCGCCGGCATTAACTACAGGATCCCTACCCACCTACCTTCGTTTTTTGTCAGTCAGGAGACTTGACAGTATTTTAGATGCGTGACACTGAGATGTCGGCTGCGGCTGCGATGAAACAACAGAACAAACCAAATAAGCAGGACTGTAACGGCACAAGCACAGTTGTCGTATAACACTCATGTCGTGAAGTGCCCCGAATAAGCCTTCATGATGCTTGAGGCGAAGCGTGACAGCACCCATCAGAGGCTCCACGTCTTCAAACGATGCACGTGTTCATGGTGCTGCATGACCGTTTCTGTTCTGAATCCTGAAACCACCGCGGTCAAGATGCGCAGGAACCTTCGAGATGGAAAACCAAGCCCTGTATTCAGTGTTCTAAGCGCCTGAGGCCCTTCTTAACCCCATCTTCACTCCGGATCCTGCCACCCATCACCTTAGATTCGGGGACAGCTGCGGAGCATCCAATCGGACAGCGCTTCGCAGGCCAACCTCGAACCCTGCACCCTAAACTCCCAAGAGCCAACGAGCAAGGGAGGCCAGCTCGACATGCCCGGCAACCGGCGAGGCGTGCCATCGCAAATGACACCATACTCCAACCCTTAACCCATAACCCTAAACCCCAAACCCTACACCCTTGCCAGGTTTGCAGTATCTGGGTATGCCAGCTTTGGACCCATCCCTGCGCTTCAAGCAAAAGATATTGGTGGCTAAGATAAATGACGTCTTCTGCATCTTAGGGGCCTCGACGCTTCCGTATTGCATTCTACACCTCCCTGATTGTGACAAGCTGTCCTGTCTACTCATTCTGCTTGTAAAGGTCTTGGGGTTGTGGTATGATTGTAGCAACTGGACTCACTCTCTGTAGTACAGGTACGATTATTGTTATGAAAACCTCCTGTAGGGCTCTTGAGATGGCCGACAAGAGATTTAGAATCGGTTCGGGTTCTCAAGGCAGGCAAGGAAATTCACCCTGACCTGAGAGGCATTTTTCCTGAGCCAACGGAAGCCGACACAGGGCTGCATCAAAGGGCGGTTTAGGGTGTAGGGGTGTGGGGTTTATATGAGCTTGGGTTTGGGGTTTAAGGCTCCAGTTTACGGTTTAGAGTTCCTTGTGACAGGCAGAGAGACAAACCCCCCATCTTTGGTTTCTCAAAATGCAATCTAATGACGGTTTGGGGGTATATTAATCAGAGGATTCATATTCGCAGAATACACATATCAGGGCTAAGGGAACCTACGAGTTTGCCCTCCGAACTGGGCTACACAAGCCGCAAGACCGAAACCGAAACTTGAAAAGCACTGCAGTCAACTACAACCCTAAACCCTCCCTCAACCCTCAACCCTTATAACCCAAACCCCTCAGGAAGCAGCGACAACCCGACCCACCCTGCCCAGCCAAAGCGGGATGTCGCTTTTTAAAGCATGGGTCGTAGCTCTGCAGGGGCTCCGTAGTTCTTCGCAGGCGCATGTCCTGCAGTGCGAAGGAGCTTTCTTTCATCCTGCTGAATCAAGAACCCCCAAGAACTACTTCTGATGTAAGAACCCTTTGACGGGCTTTACACTACGAGCCCAAACTTATACTTGTCTGGAGGCTCTGAGTTCTGAGCATGAAGCCCCTCAGAGATAGTTCTTGCAATCTGTACAGGGTGTCGATGATCGTCTTGTTGAGTCTGGGGTTTAGGGTTTAGGGTTTAGGGTTTAGGGTTTAGGGTTTAGGGTTTAGGGTTTAGGGTTTAGGGTTTAGGGTTTAGGCAGGCCTCACGTGCTCCGGCTCGGCGGGATCTCTGACTTGCCTTGCAAGGGACTTCAAAAAGGCCCCAAAAACAAACGGCTTTAAGGGAGGCAGGGGCGGCTGCCACTGTTCTGTTCTCTCCTTTTTTCACCACGGATTCACAGGTCAAGAGGATGCTCCGAGTAGCTTAGGGCAAAGGGCTTTGGGATGTTTCTTGCTGGCCTGTTTTGGGGCTTCGAAGGGGCTTAAGGGCATAGGGATTTTGTTAGGCTTGTGGGCTTGTTGCTTTTTGCTCCAGGATGTTTTGGGATGTTTCGAGGCCCAAAGGTCGAGGGTTGTTAGTGTTGGGGTTTCATGGTTTTTGGAGTTCGGGCAAATCCATGTGGGGGTGTCGGACGTTAAGGAGATGCTTTGTCTGGGCCGGTCTTGACGGAGGGGACCCAGCAAATTTAGGGTTTAGGGCTTAGGGGTTAGGGTTTAGGGGTTAGGGTTTAGGGGTTAGGGTTTAGGGTTTAGGGTTTAGGGGTTAGGGGTTAGGGTTTAGGGGTTAGGGAGTATGGCAATCGGAACACCTCCGCAGCCTCGCCGCTGTGCTCCCTTGTTCTCCTCGACCTGGCACTCGGAACTCCCTAACTTGAGCTGGGCTGTTTAGGCGTTAGGGGGCTAGGGTTTAGGGGTTTAGGGTTTCCTACATCCCTGGAACTCGGCAACGACACACGCACAATCGGTGTCGTCTCTCTCATATGGGGGGTTTCCAACTTGACAGCTTTGCCCTCACAGTGTGTTTGCTTGGCAGACGCTCTGCTGACGGAACGGCGCATGAGCAATGGAAGCACGCGGAGAAATCGACTTCGCGGCTGTCTGAAAAAGGTCGATCAACCCATGCCCTGAACCCCAAAGGCTAGAATTTGTTCTTATCTGCATCACCTTGTCCAATGGACCATGAGACAGAGTGAAGTATAAAAAGGGACACAAGTACATATACATATATACATATACACCTGTTGTTGTAACCTGACTCAAGTGTTCTCATGACCAACACCCAGCAGAAGTCAGGAACCTTTAGGCGGCACTAGTTCCAAGCATCTTCCGGAGGACGTAGGTGCTCATCAGAACTCCTAAAGCTTCCCTTTCCCAAATCCGTCCTTTGCCCACGCGCCTGCTCCGTGAACGCGATGCTGAGAAGTCGCTACTTTCGAGACTTCTTGCCTAGTCGGCATCTTCGCAATAGCTCGTGTATATCAAATTCTTAGATGCCCAATACCCTGGCACAAAAAAGTTTAAACCTCTCGTTTAGTAGGGGTTTAGTATGCCCAAAAAGTTTAAAGTTCAGCTATTGGGCTCCTAAGAATTGTACACGTGGCATCTAAGCCTCAAGGAGCTATGCCTTGGGCAGCTTGCGAATAGCGTGATGTCAAAGCCCTGCAGCCCAAGGGTGTCCACGGACGTGCGCTGTACTTGGAGGCTCATGGGAGATGATAAGTAGGGGTATAAGTACCCTAAGTAGGGTTCGAAGAATAGCTACCATAAATGTAACCTTACTTAGAAACCTTCATGTAGGGTTTAGGGTTTTGCGGGTTCATTCGCCTGGCTTCCGTCCGCCAGCGTTGGCAGCTTCTTCAGCTTGCCTTTTCTTCTTCACGGACACGATGCCTGCACGGAAGATAGAGCAAATCCGGCCCTTTGCTTGAAATTATACTAATACCATTCTACACATATATAGAGAATGTGAAATATGTATGTAGAGCAATGCAATGATGCAATGTAATGTTTTACAATATTTTCTAGGGTGGCCCTTTTTTGGAGCCCTTCATAAGGCGTTGCCGAAGCATCCAGACTGCTCACAAACCCAACTGTTTCACGAGAATTTGGCCTTCGACACTCAGGACTCGCCAGTCCAAAGCCTGAAGAACCCCAAACTTCCATGTGTGTAGGCTTTTGCTCTAAAGGGATTTAGGTAACCTGCAATTACAAAAAAACAGGTAGGTTCGGGGTTCTGAATTAGGTCTACATCTCTATGAGCTGGGACGGAGGGGGTGTTGGCTAAGGGCCTGATGCCGGCGCGCTGCCGCCCAGGGCTTCAGCGAAGTCTTCCTGGCGGAAAGCGACTTGTTTACAACGTAGGGTTCAAGGTGCAGGGCTGTGTCGGGCATCGTTGTCGTGGATAGGCGGGAAGGAACCGCGTCGGCGGAGGACAAACCCCTCCATTCAGAGCTGAGGGCTTTGTGGCATCTTAGGTTGTAGGCGCAGGCAACTTCGCGAGTGCAAAACTTCACAACCCCCAAACTGTGAAGCTAAAGGTCACGGGTAAGTTCTCCCCCCAAATAAGCAGACGAGCAGCCGTGCTCGGGGCGACGGCAAAATTCTCGTTGGTAAGTGATGCTAGCCTTAGTGTGCACCATGTGGCGAGCAGCGGCGAGCAGATTCGGGATTGATTTTGGTACCCAGGGCTTAGATCTTTAGGGCGCAAGGGGCCTAGGTCCACAGTACATCGGCGACACTCCATGTTCGCTCCCGTCTTCGCATGAATTGCCGCTGCCGCGCTCGAAAACCTGAGGCCTGTTGTTGGTTTTGACGAATTGTTGCTTGGAGGTGTCTTCGAGCTGCAGCCGGCAAGGCTTGGTCTGCAACAGCTCAGCTGACTCAGCTGCACTTATACTGGTTCTTTGTAGGGAATTTGGAGATGAGGTACCATACATGAATCTCCATAGACCACTGCACCCTCTAAACGGGGTATCCTAGTGCGGGGCCCAGGAACTGCAGACAAAAAGCCGCCGCCTTTTGAGCATTAGGGGAAACCCGCCGCTTCCCACCCCCTAGCTCCAAGTGCTCGAAGCCCTTGATTGAAACAACCAGCATTTGATCGAAACTGTCCCCTGACTTCATGACAGGAATCCTGGAGGTGGTAACAAAATTTATAGGCAACTGAGGATCCCGGGGATCCGCAACTCCCCCCCCCCAGGGTAGTTTTGCCATTGAGTGGATCTTGGATGCGAGAGGGTTCTGGGAAAGAGGCGAACTCCAAACTGAGGTCCAGACAAGTCCTTCCTCTTCTCCTGCAGCTTCTTGTTGACCTGCTTCTTGCGATGCCACACAAAGCTGTTTTTGCGAGGCTCGTACGACCCTTGGGGGCATCTCGGCACTTGCTCTTACTTCATGGCTGGGTCGCAACTCTACCTAGGCTGCTGAGTTTGTTGAGTTTGCCATCCAGCCGACATTTCGCCTCCAGGCTCTTGCTCCACTAACAAGCCACGGGTGCTTGAAGGTTGATGCAGGTTGGTTGAGCTAAGCATTTGCTGGCGGGCCCTGTGTCCTTAGACCCTAGACCCAAACCCCAAAACCCTAAGCCCTAAACCCTGACCCACTCTTCGGATACAAAGCTCTGAGATGCAACAGGCAGGCCTTCTGCCCTGCAAGCTCTTGGTCCGACCTGTCGGCTTAAGGGGTTGTTCTAGGTTCGCCTGTAGCTTATCTTAGATTAGGGTTTAGGGTTTAGGGTTTAGGGTTTAGGGTTTAGGGTTTAGGGTCTAGGGTCTAGGGTCTAGGGTCTAGGGTTTGGGGTGTTTCCGATGGTTCTGCTATCTGGTTCGCGTGCATTGCGTTCACTGTCTTTGCCAGCTTGAGCTGAGTCAAATGGCTGGAAGGAGGATGGCCGCAGAGTCGAAGGTCCGCCCGAAACACTGCCAAGCCCAACAATCAACGCCCTAAACCCTAAACCCTAAACCCTAAACCCTAGACCCTAGACCCTAAACCCTAAACCCTAAACCCTAAACCCTAAACCCTAAACTTAAACCTCCCGAGCTTCGCACTTGAGGGACTCTTTCACGAAGCTGCCGCCAGCAACCACCTGGTTGTTGGCAGAAGTCTTCAGAAGGTGCAGGCCAAGTCGTGTAAGCCTCAATTGACACACCGGATCTCAAATACGTCGCTGCAGTAGAGCAAGGCGACTTGGCGTGAGGATTTGGGTTGCTTTAGGGTTTAGGGTTTAGGGACACCCTTTCAAGTGGGTTTAGGGTTTAGGGTTTAGGGTTTAGGGTTTGGGGTTGAGGGTTTGGGGTTTAGGGTTTATGGTCTAGGGTCCTGCAGAACCATGAAGGACAAACGGGCCTCGCCGGACTGCATTGGCCGCTGCGCCCTCGGCCCAACGTCACAAAGCTCGTTTAGGGTTTAGGGTTCCGGGTTTCGGGTTTAGGGTTTAGGGTTTCGGGTTTCGGGTTTCCTGAGGAGCTTGCCAGAGGTCGCGCCTCTTGGCACCTGGGTCATAGTATTCATTGAGAGAAAACGCCTATGCACACTCACCAGAATCCAGAATAGACGGATGTTGCACTATCTATCAAAGGTATGTCTAGTCGCTTGGGTATGACATTGTGGGGACTTGTCCGGCGAGATCCGAAAACCAGGGAAAATCAAATGTAATGGAGAGGGTGTAGGGGACTTTCGTTCGAAGGGGCATTGGGGTCCTTGAAATCGGGTAGGGGCCTGGCAAATTCACCATTTCTCTATTGGAATGATATGGTGGGAGGCTTCACCTCGTCGCCCATGCGCTTGTGCTCTCGCCGCTGCAGTTGACGATTGGCTGAGTGCAGATTTCGCGTGGACCTAAGCCCTGCACCCTAACCCGAAACTGTCGTCTGTCCGCGCCCCCAAAACGATTGTTGACTCAGCACAGAACCTCCTGAAACCCAAAGCATCAGCCTTGGAACTCTGAACCCTAAACCGTAGAGGTTTATGAGCCCTAAACCCTATAAACCCTGTAAACCCTCAACCAAGAACCCTAAATCCTGTAGGGTTAATATACCCTAAACCCCAGGAATTCAAAACCCTAAACCCTAAAGCGCTCAAGCATGCTCAAGGCCCAAACCCTTCATCCATGTCTGCACCAAGACCTTGCCAAGGCCCGGGCAGTCCCTCTGCCTCCCCCTCCTCTTCTACCTCAGCTCTTGTTTGGGGGGTTCTGCTCAACCCTAAACCCTAAACCTAAACCCAATACCCTAAACCCTAAACCCCACAACCTAAACCGCAAAACCCTAAACCCTAAACCCTAACCCTTAAATCCTAAAACCCTAGACCCCAACCTTAAGCCCCACAACCCTAAACCTCCGTCTCAGAAGTGCGGGGGGGACGGGGGGGGGGGTTACCGGTGCGGTAGGCACCAGTTTGAGGGTAACGCCTCCACCCACTGCGACAGGTAGTACAAAGAGGCATGCGCACAAGGACCTACGCTACAACCCAAGACTTTGTGATTCCGTGGTCCCATGACAAGACTTTATAGGGTTTAGGCTCAGGGCTTAAGGAGTGCTCAAGGATCCAACATCTAAATCTTACAAACCCTGCAAACCCTACAAAACTCTACAAACCCTACAAACCCTTCAGCCTAAAACCCTAAACCCTAAACCCTAAACCCTAAACCCTAAACCCTAAACCCCAAACCCCAAACCCTCTTTTGAGCCTGGGCACCTGCCGCTCCAAGAGCGCCCGGCAGTGGTTGGAGAGCTTGTGCATGGCCTCCAAGGTTTATAGAAATTGTATAGGGTTTGTGTCCGGGGTTTTGACCGAGTTTTGACCGGTTTTGACCGGGTTTTGACCGGGTTTTGACCGGGTTTTGACCGGTTTTGACGGGGTTTTGACCGGGTTTTGACCGGTTTTTTCTTTTGCTTTTGAACAAAAATGCGATGGCTTCCCAGGCTTGGAACGCCTGTCCAGGTAGTTCACCTTCACAAAATGTGGGTCGGGGTGTGATCCGGGCCTGTGTAAATTCTTGCATTCCCCTCATTGGGTCGGGATGTGATCAGGGCCTGTGTAAATGCAGCGAGGAGCCTTGCGTTCCCCTCCCTAATTGGGTCGGGATGTGATCAGGGCCTGTGTAAATGCAGCCAAGGAGCCTTGCGTTTCCCTCCTTAATTTGGTCGGGATGCCGAATTGGGTCGGAATGTGATCAGGGCTGTGTAGACGCAGCCAAGGAGCTTTGCATTCCCCTCCTTAATTGCCACGGAGCCTATCATTCCCCTCCCTAATTGGGTCACGAAAGCCTGTGTAAATGCAGCCAAGGAGCCTTGCATTCCCTTCCCTAATTTGGGTCCGGATGTGGTGTGACTGCAGCCAAGGAGCCTTGCATTCCCTTCCCGAATTGGGTCCGGATGTGATCAGGGCCTGTGTGAATGCAGCCAAGAAGCATTGCACTCCCTTCCC